CGGTTTGTACAACGAGCTGCGAATGGGTTTTAGAATACTCACGATGTATTCAGATCGAACAAATTGCAATCCAATATGCCCAAGAGAACCCGCGGTGATCCAAAAGTATGCAAAAAGATAGCGGTACTGGTACAGTGCGTTACATATTTGCTCAAACAGATCGTCCGCCGCTCAACGACCGTATTACGAAGGAGGCTTCTAAAATCAAGATCTCCTCATGCAAAAGTTTTATTTTAGGTCCCTAGCTTGCATACTCTTTTTTATTTGGGAGTGAGTCATATGGTGTCATATGGTAGCCCTCAACCTCTCACTCTCAATTTACCATATGAAACAGAAATAGAAAGCCTTGGCCATCGCCCCATCAGAGGTCCCTTTGACATCATTAGAAGATAATGTCAATGATGAAGAAAAAAAGTGACCGCACCATCAACAAACACCAGTCCACCGTCACCTGAGGCATTAGAAGATGGTGATGATGACAATGATGGCAAGGCGATTGCCCCACCAGAAGACACCAGTCCAACAGCACCAGTGGACAACAATGCCCCAGTTCCGACCCAATCAGAAGATGATGACAAAGCAAAAAGTGACAGCCCCACAATGTCCCTTACCAGAACACAGTAGTGATCCATCAGTAGATATTGATGCTCTCGCTCTGTCAGCATCAAAAGAGGTGGTGAGACAATGATGATTCCTTCGGTGACAATTCAAGTTCGACCTCTGGCTCATAACCTGACAAGGTAGAATACTGTTAATGATGCTATAGATCCAAGACCGATATAAGAATGGACAGACTGGTCCAGCTCCTTGATCATTTGGTTGGCTTGTCTCAAATCCTCAGCAATTGACTTCAAGCCCAACGCCTTTTCATACCCTACAACGGCTGCTTCACTTTTGTGCAACAAAGGAGCTTCAATCCCTTTGTTCTTGGGGTCCTTGATGCCCTGTTTGTTTGCTTTGCTTTGTTCTAGAATTGTCTTATTAGTCTCGTATTCTTCATGCATGGCCATGACGACTTCATGCTCTGCAAGTTCGAGTGTTTTCCTATGTTCTCGTTCCAAAGCTTTGTATTGTACCAAAGCTTGTAGTTTTGTCCCATGGTATGGCTTTGATCTATAACAAGCCAACCAGCCTTTTGAGACGTCATATATGAATTTGCTTCCGTGCTTGAGACCAATCACTTTCAAATGGTGGAGCAAATCTTTCAGACCTTTTTTGGTTGGTGGCCATTGCTTTGGATCGAATTTTGCAGCTCTTGTTTCAGTGGCGTTGGTGACAAATGAGAACAAATCAGCAGATTCACCATCATGATATACAAGACCGTCAAAGGGAAGCTTGGCGCACCATGTTTTGTTTGTGCTTCAGCAACTTTGGTTTATAGTCCTTCTTCCAGTTCTTCTTGGGTGAGATCTGACGCATTTTTTAAAGACATTGAAAAGGATGGGGGGGGCAGGTAGTACTACTAGTATGCTTTTTTCACAGGAAATTTATTTCACTCCAGTTACTTCGATGATTTGCGGAGCGCCAAGTCCGAATTTCGAAATTCAATTTTGGCGCCAATGCTTAGGGCTAGTCAAAGGAGTCGGCTAGGAGTCAGACAGACGACTGTCAATCTGAAATCCATTTGGACCTACAACCAGTCCTGGCAGGCGCGTGGCCGGCCGGCAACATTTTGGTCGCTCTTATTACCGGGTCGATATGGTAAAAGAGTACAAGTACCAAGGTACTGCAGTATTCCCCGAGTTGAGACTTGCCAATAGTAGATATTATCCAGCAGATAAGACTCTCCCAAATGTTGCCAGCCGGCCGCACGCCTACCTGTGTCCGCAGAGAGCCCAAACCGGGTGAAATTTCCAACGATTTTTCGAAAACAAATTAAAATTCCTAATTCCTAAA